TTTTTTTTTTTTTTTTTTTTAAATAGGTTTTCGTACGATCCACGTGAAGCCACGTAACGTTAATGCTCGGAATCGTGCCATACTGAACGACATCAACTATCATTACGATCACAAGATGATGGAACAAGGAGTAGATTTTCGTATCGAAGATCCAGCCTCGGTTTTGGTGTTCTATTAAAACGTTAATTTCTCAGCTGTTCCACACCGGTATCTGTCCCACTCGCGTCTCCGCTGTCGTTACAGCCAAAAATAAAACAATTGTCCACTCTGCAATTCATTCTTTTTATCTATTTTAATTGCATTTTTTTTTTTTTTTTTTGGTTCTTTACGTTTATTTCAAGAATTTATTAAAGACCTTTTGTAGAGTACAGAGAATTCCCTTTTCTTTGAAATTTATTTCTTATCTGCAATAGAGAGTTAAACAATAAATTTACAGTGTTGCGAAATTATTTCTTTTCTTTTCTTTTTTTCTTTTTTTTTATTATCGACACGACATCATTGACAGTATTATCAGATCAGTCAATTTAATAATAAATACGATATTACAAGAACGTCCAACAGTAAAAATTTGTAGAAATATCTTGTCGAAAGTCTTAAACGATAATCGAAAATTTTCTCGCTAGTATTGTCCCAGAGTTTTTCGAGTGAATCTAAGGATCTAGGGGAAAGTTCTCGTTGTTTTAACGATCTAAGACAATATGTGTATAAAAAGTATAAAAAAAAAAAAAAAAACGTGTATAAAAATGTGGAAGTTTAAAATCGGTGTTAGCTATATCACGTTGTCCCTTGTAATCTTCTCTTTCATAAAATTTCATCGATTAATCGATCGCAAATCCTCGATTTTTAATTCGATTATATCTTCATTACGGTTGATACTTGCGATCGATTAAACGAAGTTTTTTTTCGAAGGAACAATTCTATGAGTTCTTTTTTCTTAATCATCCCACTTCGCACGATATTAATTGAAGATAGAAGAGAAACATGATAACTCTATTTTTGTTGATTCTTTTTATCTTCAGATATCACTTGGTGGTTGAAAGGAATATTTTAGTATGGTATAGTTGATAAAAAGAGAGTTGAAAATAATAAATTGTTTAAATACGATTAATAAATTAGATAAAATTGAAGATAAATTGAAGGTAA